TTGATGATAGTTTGGACGTTGTTTGCTTGGTTGGCAAGTCGAGCGGCAAAAAGAGAAGGCATAGAGAACCCGGAGTGATTAACCCAAAGTGGTCACTCTGATGCTTAAGTCAATGGCTAGTTGTGTAAGTGAGCTAATACTTGAATGCAAGAAAGCTAGTAAGCACAAATTGTGCGCACTTGGGTCTCAAGGGTTGATATCCGTAGGCCTCACAAATCACTTCCGAGATCCTCGGCCCGAGCTATTAGGAGTCTGTTCCACCCCGGGAGGTAGATAATGTGCTAGCCAATAAGGCTTATCGTGTCATGATGTCAATGGAAGGCCAAATATGCTCTCATCAATTACCCCTCACTCCCAAGCTGAGATTAGCTCAGCGAAGGGAGTAGCTTTATAGTAGGTCATTTCGCTTGTTACCAACATATTTCGAGGTTTGGCTTTCTATTGTAATATGTGTGTCACTGTTGGCATTTGAATAGTAGGTCAGTGCCACAGCTGCTCTATGTCAGTCCTCGGAGGTGCTGGTCGTCTACTCCTACGATAAGCCATAGGGAGCTCAACCTGCGATGGCAGCTCTACTAACTATAGGTTGACAACTCGCACGGGAACCTTGAAAGGCTTAACTGGCAAGGGCGACTGCAGTCTATTGGCCACCGACTCCCGCGAGAGCCGCAAAGGGCTCGACCTGTAGGGGCGACCTCGCGAACAAGGCTAAACAAGGCTCGTCCAGGCTGATTATCGTCGCCAAGTTGGCAGTGATAAGCCTCCAGGTCGTCAGAGGCAATTCTCCAAGTCGTCAGGTCGGCAGAATTTTGACAGTCCAGTTTTGCTCTCAACTCCTTGGCCTACAGACACCTCGTCATCTCGGCAGGACTGACTTGTGATGGCGGCTCCACAACCTGTTGGCCATCAACTCCTACATAGAGCATGGAGGGCTCAACCTATAGAGTGACCTCACAATTTGTTGGCTATCAACTCACACGGGAACCACAGAGGGCTCGACCTGTTAGGTGGCCTCACATTTTGTTGGCCGTCAACTCTTGTAGAGAGCACGTAGGGCTTGACCTATGGGGGTGGCCTCACAATTAGGGAGATTTTGTCCGGGTAAGACTGCAAGAACTCGTCTGGGCATTTTGATTTTGCCCCCCCCCCCTAGGGGGTTCTTTCGATTAAGTGTTGTTGTTGTTGCTTGAGGATGCTATTACTTGAGGTTCAAAGAATCAGATGAGAACCTAGCCTTTTGTAGCGTATCCCACAGATAGCGCCAATTGATGGTGCACGATCCGAAGCTCCTAATTGGATGACAGCTCGGATATCAGATGCTTGGCTGGCGAGTCAAGCTGCAAGAAGAGAAGGCACAAAGAACCCAAGGTGATTAACCCGGTGTGGTCACTCCGATGCTTAAGTCAATGGCTAGTTGTGTAAGCGAGCTAATACTTGAATGCAAGAAAGCTAGTAAGCACAAATCGCGCAAACCTGCGTCTCAGGGGTTGATGCTCTTATATAATTAGGCTGTCGTGGAACTCACGAATCACTTCCGAGATCCTCGGCCCGAGCCATTAAGAGTCCGTTCCGCCTCGAGAGGTAGATAACGTGCTAGTTGATAAGGCCTATCGTGTCATGATATCTGCCCTCATCAGTGATCATCAGGTGGTATTCATCAAACTCACAAGGGTGCTTTTCTTTCGGTACCATGTCTTTCCGATATGATAGATTTTCCCTTGTAATGACTTATACTCTTTCCAAATTGAGTGCAAATCCAAACTGGATACGAATTTTGTAGACAATTTCAGCTTTACATCCATTTGTTTGTGGTTATGATTTGCACTTGTTAGATTTTGCATCTAAAAAACTGGTGCAATATTTGCACCACCTTCTCTTACCATGATTTTCTGTCATATAAAGTGAGAACCACTTCATTTTGTTTCCCACCTTATTCCTCTTAGACAAATAGTTCTCTTCTTGTCTCCATTCTCTTTCATATAAAATGGGGATTACGTCATTTTGCTTCTTATTTTATTTCTCGACAGCCAGTAACATAAAGTCAAATCTGAAGCAAAACTAAACCAGAATTTGCATTCAGACCATTTTACACTCCCCTTGAATTTACCCGAGTGTGAATGAACTCTGGAGTGCAAACAAACTGAGGTCTGAGACCGAGAGGGCACAAGTCATCACCTTAAAAACAATAATGTTGCAGCGGTAGACAATCTACCACAGTAAATGAAGTTCACACTCTAACATGCGGGGATGCCTTACGATCACATTCACATGTATGTGATCGTACGTAGTCTGTCATTTTCGTTGGGAACATCTCACACCGGTAATGTAAAGAACAACTCGCTCACGATAAGTAACTTGTGGCCGGTGACACCTCCCGCTCTGGGCCACCCATCAAGGCCCATCTGGTTTGTTTCTCACTGACGTCATAACTCATAAGTCATAACCTCCCGTAGGATGTATATCCTATTCCTATATCCATGGCTGTGTATATGGGCCCGCTGTGTCCGTGGGCTTTCTCAGCCCTGCTTACTTTGTACTTGCTCTTAAGCCATCAACCAACGACCCAGTAAACTAGTGGACTGGACTTGATGTGCAGTACTGTGGAGCCCGCAGAAAGCCAGCGTTGGGCTTTGCTGAAAGAGACTTTCTTTCAGATTTCGTGGTTTGGTTCGGCTCTGGGCCTAGTAGAGCTAAGCGAGTAAGCTAAGCCATACTTGTCGGCGTAGGTTGGTTGAACTACCGGCTCTTCCTAATCCTAACATGTTGCGCTCGGCTTCGGTCAGGGCAAGCCCGTGCTCACACCGTTCTAATCAATATTCTAAATATCGATACATGCCGATATGTTGATAGGGCATATTAGTCTGTACCGATGTTTTTTTTGTGTTTTATTTATTTTCAGAGGGTCGGTTTAAGTCTTGGCTATCCTCTGAAGCATGGTTTGACCTGATACACCCTTTATAGGGGCACATTAGGAAGGCCTCAATATGATACATATCAGCTAATACAGGCTGATACCTAACAATATTTTGAACCTTGGTTCCAACAACCCTTACAATCTTGCATTGAAAATATCTACCCATAAAAGAAAACACATAAGTAGGGAGATATTCTCAATGTAAGGTTGTAAAGGTTGTTGTGTCCTGATTGAAGTTGGACTTGATTTTCCAAAATCACTGCCATGTTGAAACCACGAAGTGTTAGAAGAATCGGTGCTGAAATTCTTGTTTGGTTTATCGATTTTGGTGATTTTTAATAAATCAATCATAAATGATTTTTGAAGTCGGCCTTTTTTCTGAGATCACCATTTTTTGATGATTCCTCGATTTCCTCATTCCAATATTTTGAAAATGATATGACATCCCACATGGCAATAAATAATAACTCCATCATATAAACAATTGGCCCTTGAGAATCAATGTTGTGTGATGTTAAAATTGGTCACAAGGAGATAGATATGAAAAGTTGTGGGAGACCTCAGTTGGTATGATGTCACGTTGGCCTCGGAGAGTCACCTATACTCAAACATATCGGATGCTAAGGAAAACCTAAAACCAAAAGAAACATCAGAGGTTTTGGGGTGATATCCCAAGGGCATGGACTCCAATAGTTAAGTCGATAACACCAAGGTAAGAGAAGATGAGGTGAGGAATAATGTGTCAAGGTGTTCAATGTGTAGTATTGAGTATAATATAATGTGATGCATTTCCCCCAAACAAATCAAGGGTTCACTTACTTATAAGAAACATGCTTTATCCAAGAATTGACGTATCACTCACACATGGTCGGAGTTCGGTCTAGTTGTCACACCCTTAGTTAATATATTATATGCACATGGTAGGTAATGGGCCTGCATGGATAGTGTTGACATTGATATTCTGATTAGATTGATCATGTATATTTCTATGGATGTTCATGCATTGCTTGTACATGTTATGAATTGGTAGTAGATGAATTTGGTGAAATCAGGTTGGTTCGAAAAAATTAGGTCAAGTTAGCTCGGCAAGATTAGGTCAATTTAGCTAGTTTAAATCAGCGAATTTAGTTAAACTTTGTTAATTAACAACTTTACCCTTAACCTATTGCCACTTGTCCATTTTTTACTGATGGTCGGGTTTGGCCACGTCAAGTATCAAAGAAACTCAATGTCAATTTCTCAAAAATCAACTTAAGATGACAAAAATGATATCAAATAACAAAATTCACCAATTTTTTGAAAAATCGATAAAGAAGAATTAACATCGATGATAAACATCACCTTGAATTTTCTCTACTTCACACCTGGACCGTCGATCACAATCCACCTTAACAACATGGCCCACCTTACAATCCACACATGAATCACGTGCTCAGAAATATCGAGCGGGGAGCCGGGGACCTCGCCCCTAAACTTAACCTCCTCAAAACGCCGAACTTAACTGTTGGCTTGGTTACCCATTGGACGGTAAGGATTTAGGCTGCTATTTTAGGACATACAGAAGATCACTAAGCGCTGTACCGAAGATGTTCCAGGAAATTGTCGAGCCATATATGGAATACCTTTCCTTATCCACTGGCCGATCTCATAACTTGTTCCAATCCGACGGTTTCTAAATCTGGGAAGTTTAAGTAGAGTAGGAGCGAGAATGCTCACACGTGCGAATACAAAGCGAGGGGTGAACCGGTAAACACGTATCCGAGGTGGTCGTCGTCGATTTCCAGCGAGGAGGATGCCGTCGTCGTGTCAGTGGCGTTGTTTCTCTTTCTGTCAATTTGACGCCATTAACTCTTTCCGTTGTGTAAATGCAGGAAAATGACGCGTCGTACGCCACGATTAAAAACCTGTCGGAGTGGTTTTCCGGTCCCCACTCTAGGATACCGATATGATCGTAATAATGAAGGAGAGATACTCAGCGACGAGCTACGCGTATAGAGCCCCAGTAGAACACGTACGCTGCTCGCGACACTACGGTCCGCCTTGTCCGGGCCCCCTCCCATTTATATCCAGCCCTCTTCTCTCCTTTCCTGTTGTCAGATTTTTCTTTTTCCTCATTTCGAACTCTCTCCGTTTCACTCTCTCTCTCTCTCTCTATTCAGTGTTCTCTCCTGAAACCATATAAACGAGTTACAGGGAATAGTTGGAACATAAGCTCAGGACTCGGATAAAGAGTTGGAAGAGAAGAGGACTGTGTAGAGGTCTCTCTTTCTCTCTCTGTCTGTCTCTGTCTCTTCTACCCTACTAAATTAAAGTCGTTTGCTTCTTTTCTTCCGGGGTGGTGGTTCTGCGTTTCGGGTTTTTTTTTTTCAGTTAAATTCGAGCCCTGAATTCTGACACTTGAAGAGGGTTCGAAGGTTTATATTTGGTGAAAGCGGAAACTGTTCGAGAAGTTACGTTGTAGAGGAGTTGTTTTGAAGTGAATGCGAAGTGGGATAAGGTGGTGTTAGCCTTTTTTGTTTAGGGATATTGATTCGGTTTGGTTGGGTTTTTGGACGATCAGGTGGAGTATTTAAGTGAAGTTTGTTATTTATGGAGCGGATTTCGTGTTCCAGTAGCAGATCTGGGAGTTGCAGTGAGAATAAGCCGGGAATCATAGAAGATACTTTTGAATTCGGCGATGGAATATTAATGACAGGAAATCTTCTTCAGGAAGCAACGGTTCCGGGGAGTTCTTTCACTGCTCTTCTCGGACTTCCGGCCACTCAAGCAATGGAACTCCTCCAGGAGCCGCAATCCACCAAGGCTCAGCCGATTCCAGCACCGGAGTTGTGGAGAGATAGCCGAAATGAGCAGGAGACGCTAGGCTACTCACTCAACTGTTCCCCAACCTTTCCTACAAATGCTGCTTTGGTCGAACGAGCGGCCAAGTTTTCCATCTACGCTGGGGCGCAAGAATCGACAGACGCGAACTCCCTTCCGTCGAATTCTAGCGAGAATTCACTCAAGTTGAAGAACGAACCTGCCGATTCTGAGTCAAATCCAAGTTCGTGCCTGGTCTTCTCCGATCCAGCGACGCCGAGCGAGAACCAGAAGTCGACGAAGCGGAAGGAACGAGAAAAGAAGGTAAAGTTCGAAATAAGCACCATAGGGGCTAGGGTTTCCTTTGGCGGTAACTGTTCCCGTTTTCAGCGTAAAGCTCTGAAACTGCTTTCCTTTTTGCACTTGGGGAAAATTAGGTTAAAGTTTCTGCTAAAAGGAGCAAAAACGTGGAGCACGGGAGTTCGAAAACTGGTGAAGATAAAGACGGCGAGAAACTGCCTTACGTCCATGTTCGAGCTCGTCGTGGTCAAGCAACTGACAGCCACAGCTTAGCAGAAAGAGTAATTTCAGTTCATTTGCTTCTCTGAACTCTAATCACGTAACCTCAAGCCCTAAATCATTTATTAATTCTTCTGTTGTTTTTTATTATTCAGGCTAGGAGAGAGAAGATCAATGCTCGGATGAAGCTTCTTCAGGAACTGGTCCCCGGCTGCAGTAAGGTTCGTCCTCACTTTTTTCACTTTTTGGTTTTCTGAAGTTTTCGATGGCATTATAGTAATTTTACAGGCCTTTCTCCTTTTATTGGTCATTTCCACATTCACAATTATGGCCAAGAGGGGCAAAAATTAAGATGGTTTTGTGATTTAATTTCATATTCTGTTGTGAGCTGTAGAAGAATGGACATGAAAATTGCTTGAATAACGAGAATGCCCCAGTAAAGCGAAGGGATCTGGTAAATTAGTTGGGTATCTTCGTGGAAAGAGTGAGACGACAAAAGCAGAACTTTTTATAAAGGTTCGATGGGGGGCAAAAAAAACCTTCCACCCCACCGAACTGCGAATGATAGAGAAGAGACACGACGTGATGGGAATGGACCATGAGTCACTGTTTCTGTGATGGCATCCTCTTCAGGAGTGTGTACTCCTCAGCTCTTTTTCCCAAGGATGTCCCTCGGAATTCACACTGACACGATTTCCGATGGCCATCCGACGGTGCTCAGTGGGGACCCCCAGGAAGTACGTTCGACTCGTTCGTTTACAGAGTCGAGCTTCTGAGCCTCTGAGGTATAGGATCTCTGTGCGTAGATATGGTACTGAGGTGAAACATTAACGCATCTGATCTTTATTGCCTTTGGCTTTTCATAAGCCCGCTACGTGTGTATTGTATTGCGAAGGCCACTGAGTTGGAATGAGTCGAGGGACCACCAAGACATTTATTCCGATCCGGTGGCTGTCTGTGGCTAGGCTGCCAAGAATCATCACACATTATCCAAACAATAATCATAATGGAGGGTAACGGAAAACGGAAAACGGAAAACGGTGGGGGTTGGTTGCAGAACGGAGGCATCCAACTGGTTTGATATCTGCTGCTGCTTTAGGAATTAGGACCACATCAACTCTTCAGAGCTTTTGTTTGGAGGTTCCTTGAGCTTGATGTACGCTCTATCATGGTTCCATCACATCATGATATCATCATCGGTCATCTCTCCAATGTCCATAGAGCATATGACTTTGACCCACCATTCTGATTTCTTGAGAAGCACCATTCGATTGGAGGATCTCGGCCATTCACTGTTTAGGTTAATCGATAGGATGTTTCACTTTTCACTTTATAGTTGATGTACGGTGTAGATATGCCGATATCTCAAGGATTATCTAAATATTTTTTTTCGGAAGAGAAAAACGGAAACAGAGAATTTCACGAGTTTTCGTGAAGAAATCTGCCTACTGCACACCGTGAGATCCTGTGGCTTTTCAAGGTGGGGTCACATCAATCCATCGAAGGCTGTGACACACGATAACCGTGTAATATCATTCAAATTTCGAACAAGGAAAATAATGGATTTTATTTTATTTTTTCAGGAACGTAGATTTGTACCCTCTGAGAGTGCATGCATTGTATCACCTTTCTTTTCGTTTTGGCAAGGGGAAAATGTATCGCCATTAAGCATATCTCTTTTTTAATGGTGCTCTTTTACGAAAAAAACATGCTTTCTGCAGATTTCCGGTACGGCGTTGGTGCTCGACGAGATCATTAACCACGTACAGTGTCTGCAGCGTCAAGTGGAGGTCAGAATCAGAACTTAGAACTCCCACCCTTCTTTCATTTATTGTTGGCTCGAGTTCGTTTCAACTTTTAACCGGAAAAAGCTTCCAGTTGTTAATATTTTAGATGTTTTCGTAGGCTTTTCAGTCATTCGAAATCATCATATCGTTCACCTTGTTTTGATCTTGATCTGATTCGAGGTTTGTGATTTCAGTTCTTATCGATGAGACTCGCTGCGGTTAACCCCAGAATCGACTTCAGCCTTGACAGCCTTTTCGCCGCAGAAGTACGCATCATCCACTACTACTACGTGAACCTTTGTTTAGTTTCCGTTTTTTTACTGTTAGATTCACTCCATTGCTGTGACTGTCCAAAACGACAGTAGTAGGATGAAGAGAAACAAAACGAGCTAGAAAATATCATTTGCCGATGAATTTAATGGCCCCTACTCGTAGAAGATTAACAAAGAAACTCCTAATATTTCTTTACCGTGTAAAACCTTTACTTTAACGGCAAGAGATAAGAGCATAGGCCTTTCAAAAAGAAAAACGTCAAGAGATATTGGCGAGACTTCACTATTTTGTTTAATTAAGGCTCAATTTGTAACGGGATAAATTAGTTAACAGGATAATTGATCACGATCCCAAATTCATTTCTGAATTAAGGTAATTGATACCCTCAGAAGGGTGGATAAGCAATTAATCTGCACGCATAGAAATATATAATGCTCTCTCCCTCCCGCCTCCCTCTCTACCCATTTCACTATAATCTTCTCCAAAACTTGAAAAAGGAAGATCGGATGGCTAAATGTGGTGGGATGTTCCTTTCCTGCTTTCTCCAGTGGATCTCATAATTCCTAGATAAAGGGTAGAGATGTAGAAGTACTTCATGCAACAAATTTATCCATTCCAACACCCGTGATGGTTAATCCTTGATCCCATCGTCACTGATTTCCTTTCTTGGTAACATGACATGACTTATCTTCTGCGTGTTGATTTCTTGCAGATTGGATGCCTTACTTCCAGTAGCTTCCCCAGCGCAGTGACGATTGAGCCATTGATGTGGCAGCAACAGCAGAATCAGCAACAACCCATGTGGGAGGTTGACATGCTGCAACGACCAGCTGCGTGGGAGAGAGGTGGCAGCAACAGCTTCCTTGCACATGACAACTCCCTTTTCAGCTACAACTCAGCAAATTCAGGTGAACTTATTAACCGTCTATCATCAAATCGGCTGTGTCTACGTGGGACAAACTGACAGATGATTCATTTCTTTCTGCTTCTTTTGCTTTGGCAGTGTCCCTGAGCTCGAACCAGTTGAAAATGGAACTCTGATGCCTTGGCGGTTGCTTGATTGGCAGTGTACATAATGGATATATTATTAGCAGTTTGTAGGGAGAGGAGCAGTCAGCATTCCCTAGGGATTTCGTGTCCATGCAATTTGGGCTGTGACATTCAGAAAACCCTAATTTTTCTTCAAGTCGGGGAGGGAAAAGAAAAAGGAAGAAAGAGAATTTGTTTCTATATTTTTATATATATCTAATTACTAACTGAGTCATTCAATCTTCTACCTCTGTTACATTTGTGAGATGATTGATTGATTCATTGTATAACCTGGAACAAGCTGTTGCTTAGAATATCATTAATGAAGTTCCCTTTCTCTTTTCCCATATTTGAACATACTTAAAGAGTCCTACTCCTACCACGGTGCAGGCTGCTTGGAGCTTGGATTTGGGCTTGGGCTTGGGCTGCTTTCAATCCATGGCTTCTACTTGGAACACTGTTTTGATTTGAATAATTGCACTTAAAAAATCAAAATTCCAATGCCTTTCCAAGGAGAAAAATCCAATTCCAGACTTTCCAGTGGAAAAGGAAAACCATTTTTCCTACTAAACTGTCGCTAGCAGATTGCTCAATAAGGCAAAGGTGGTCGTCTTCATCAATGACCATCAGAAACAGATCCTACATGTGATGACGAATGAACCGTGCTAAACCATCGAGATCAACGTAACTACGATGCTGATTCCCAACACTCTATCACCCGCTATCATAAACAAAACAAGAAGATATCTAAAAAATAAAAATAAAAAAAGACGGGGAATCGCTCGAGGCTGAGGGTTAGTTCCGTGACCGTGAGTGAGTCGATGTTATGTGTCGATAAATAATGTCAGATGATGAGTCAGAACCCAAAACCAAGACCCAGATAACGAATGGCGTCTCTTCTTTTCCCAGTCTCTGCTATTATCATCTGTATGCTTTTAGTTTTCCTTTCAGTTTCAGAAACCGCCGCGTCATCGAAATATGATACGATCGCTCTCCCCCAGTATAACCTGCCGACGGCCACGTTTTCCGTCACCGATTTTGGTGCCGCTGGCGACGGTAAGAGATATGATACGTCGCACATACAAGCCGCTGTTGACGCCTGCGCAGACGCAGGAGGCGGACGAGTCAGGTTTCCGCCGGGAGATTACCTGACGGCCACGATCTTCTTGAGATCGGGGGTGGTGTTGGAAATCGAAAAGGGAGCTCGGGTGTTGGGAGGGGCGCGACTGGGGGACTATCCATTGGAGTCTTGGAGATGGTACGTGGTGTTGGCGGAGAACGCGACGGACGTCGGAATCACCGGCGGGGGAGTGATCGACGGCCAGGGAATGAAGTTTGTCCAACAGATCAACGATCGAAAGAACATCATGGTCAGCTGGAATACCACGGGTGCTTGTTATGGCGACGAGTGCCGGCCGAGACTCGTCGGATTTCTGGGTTGCCAGAATGTCAGAGTTTGGAATATCAGATTGATGGAGCCCGCTTATTGGTGGTGCGTACTACACTCTTCTTCGCTCTCCCCTCTTTCCACTGTTTTTCCGTTGTCTTCACCGGTTCACCCTTAGGCAATGCTAATGGAACGCGCTTTAGGAAGTTATGAAAGATAGTGATAAAGGATGAATCAGGGTTCCTTTGTTATTATTACAAAAACGCCCTGATTTTTATATTGTCCTTTTGTGTTGTACGCGCTCGCGTTACCGCACGAGCTCGTACTGTTAGCATTGCGTCTATTTCCCCCTTCATAATTCATTTCACGCCCAGGGGCCCAACGTCATCATTTCAAATTTTAAATCTTATCCATAAATTAAGAAATATGCGAACCAAATGATAACCGTAACGTGTCAGTCATTCATTGGCTGATAAGTTGAAAAGGTTTGCAATGTCATTGTAGCCCCAATTTTCAGTTTACACGTGTCGATTAGCGAGAGTATTGCCACCAAATCACCACTATTTGTCATAATCACTCTGATCTTGGCTTTTGGATTCGATGGGATTTTTTTCGGGTCCAGTAAAATTTTGACACGTCAATAATTGCTGAGTTGGATCCGAAGCGTAAGTGTGTAACATTTCAAAGTTATTTAAGAGCTTAAGGGGTGTCAATTCAATTGGATTGAATCTGGCCCAATCCGATCCAGTGCAATGTGTGTCTAGTACAGATGGACCATATTTCCTTCAAACCAAACATAGCCTACTCCTTCTATCAATCAACTAAGCCCAAATGAGGACTGTGCACTTATCAAAATGATGTTTTCAGACGGAGCTACCCTATGACTCAATGTTAAACAAATTCAAGCCTCTGTTTTATTTAGAAAATGGTGTTTTTTTTTTTTTGTTTGAAAACGTTGCTGTCAGGTAGGACATCTCTTGGGGCAACAATAATACCTTATGTTTGGTACCCGAACTCCATATCTGTTTTAAACACGATACCCATTATAAGAAGTCCATGTCACTGTCATATCATGTTCTCGTTAGCAGCAATAAACTCCAAACTTGAGAAAACTTTGAATTCAGCGTTTACTCATACCACACATTCTTGATTTCAAAGCGTGGTTTAGAGCACCGTTTTTTATGAATAAACAGTTCCAAACATGTTACCAGTTTTTGGAGCACCGATTTTTCCAAGGTGGCACTAATGTGTCACGTTTTCTGGAGCAACAGCATTGATGCCAAACACCACCTTAACCAACTAAGCACAAATGGGGACCCTGTGCACTTATCAAAATGATATTCTCGGACAGAGTGACCTTATAACCGTATGTTAAAGAGGTCAGGCTTGATCCTGTCTGCAAGCTTCTGTTTCTGCTCACATCTGTTATTATTTCTTTTCCGACTCTTATTGTGGATGAGATCATAATATTATTGCAGTTTGCACATAGTCAGATGCCAGAAGACATCAATTCATGATGTGTCTATTTATGGAGATTTTGATACCCCAAATAATGATGGGATAGATATAGAAGATTCAAATAATACTGTGATCACAAGATGCCATATTGACACTGGAGATGATGCCATTTGTCCTAAGACATACACTGGCCCTATCTATAACTTAACAGCCACAAACTGTTGGATTCGAACTAAATCTTCTGCAATCAAGCTTGGTAGTGCGAGTTCCTTTGCTTTTAAGAATCTGCTGTTTGATAATATCACCATTGTGGATTCTCACAGAGGAATAGGTTTCCAGATTCGAGATGGAGGTAACAGCATTTAGGTTCCTTAACTACATCCAAGTCTATGTTACACATTTACAGTTTTCTGTTATTGAAGTGTACGAGTCTTACTGATTTATACGTCCTTGTGTAGGAAATGTGAGTGGTATCACCTTCTCAAATATAAAAATCAGCACAAGGTACTATGACCCATCATGGTGGGGGAGAGCAGAGCCCATCTATGTGACCAGCTGTCCACGCGACTCAAACGCAGCAGAGGGGTCTATTTCTGATGTGCTCTTTGTTAACATATCTGCTGTTTCCGAAAATGGGATTTTCTTATCTGGTTCTAAACAAGGCCTTCTAAGCAACTTGAAATTCATCAATGTGAATGTTACCTACAGAAGATGGACAGATTTCCCCGCTGGATTGGTTGATTACCGGCCAGGATGCCAAGGTCTTGTTAATCACAGCATGGCCGGGATTATGATGGAGCACATTGATGGTTTGGTGATAGAGAATATGAACATGAGATGGTTTGAGAATGAGTACAAACATTGGGATAACCCTTTGGATTTGAGGCCTTCAACTGTACATAACATTTCTTTGTTTAATTTCCAGTTGGATCGGTATCAACAGTAGACAGGAGCATAAAATCCCTGTTTCCTCCATTATTTTGATCTAAATAATGTGGCAGAGAAGATTTACTATCAACAAAAATGTTTTTGTTTTCTTATGAACTGAATGTCACAGTAAGCCCTAAACAAACTAGTGATTCTGGTGGAAGGGAATTTGATTATTTGTTAGACAATATTTGTTTTAAATGTACTTGTTGTAAAATTACTTCGTTGTATAATCTTTTATAGCAGACATTATTACCTTTTCTCTTACAATTTCAAACACACAAATACCCCTATCAAGTTAATGTTTTTTGCTCCACATGCCAAGGGCAATATTTTATTTAAGTTTTTCTTTAAGTAAAAATAATGGACAGTATCAGATTGGCAGCGGACGCGAAAACTTTTTCCAAACTCTTACAAACATAGATCCTAAGAATGGTGGAACAGGACTCATGTAGCCAAACCTCATGGACAAGGCTTAGTTGCTGCTACTTATGGTGATGATGATGATGATGGCTGTGAAGTAAAAATAAAAGAATAATTACCTAATGCTTGTCCTAGCTATCAGGGTCTTGGGTGAGGTGGAGTACCAGATACGAGTCAAACCTCAGACATGTTTTGCATGAAGTGGTTGCTCATAGACTCAAGGTCCGTGTTCCTTGTCAGCCCTAGATTTTATCATTCTACCAAGCAATGCCCCCTGTTTCATTAGTCTTAATTATGTCCCTACGGCATTACTGTTTTAATGTATTTGACCATAGCCATTATCAGACTCAGACTGAACCAGATGGTTGAGCTGATGACATGGTGACCTGGTGACCTTCCTGGTTCCAGTTATTTGACTGTTCTGATGGTTTGGATAGTCTAACTGGCTGGTTAATTGATAAAACCATGACCCAAGGAGTGCAACGTTTATGAAAGAATAAGGAGTGGTCTAATCAGCCAGCCTGCCTACACTAGCAAAATTTTCCAATAAAAGAAATAATATATTCTAGCCTTCTAAATAAGTACATCCCCACTAATCTACCAGAATGTCTATCAATATCTTGATTACCACGGATCAAGTATACCCATATGTTTTACATAGCAGGGAATCAAGCAGCTGAGTTTCAATCTAAGTATAACCAATTATAATCTTGTATTTTACTATTTGTGCTATGATAACTTTGAAAGCTTTAAGGAACTCTTGTATAAAGTCTTGCCTTTTCCATTCCCTGGGGTAACATGAGATAAATTTCCATCATACCTGTAGACATCCTTTTCCAATGACATCAAAACTATACTTTGCAACTCCCCTTAATTTGACGAAAGGAAAAACAGACCTACCCTATTTGCCTTTATTCTGCAAAACAATAGACAGGTAATGGTCTTGTAGGTTTGAAGAAATCCCACGAGCTGGAGCTGTAGGTAATACATAACTGCAAGATCAACAGTGTAAAAAGAAATAGAGAAGGTGGTTTGCAAGCCATTCAATGTTTCCCTACCATATGATTACATCTCAGCTCTTTTATAACAAGAGAGTGTGGGAAATGGAATTAAAGGATTCTAGTTATTTTTGTAACTAAATTACAATTAAGAGAAACCCCTCTCCACTAATAACTCTAGAGATAGAGTTCTACAATCTCTCTTACTCCTACTTGTTCCTCCTCCATCTTGATCCTTAGTTACGAAACTTCACAAGAAATGCAAAACAAGTGATCTTCCTACCAAGCCTCTCACTTTACAGACCATTAGTAGTCTCTACCAATGTTTTATAAGGCAGAGGTGCTAGGATGTTCTGATATGTGAGGCATAAAACTCAAAGTGTGAAACTTTATGTCATGAAAGCAAGTATTATAAATATTAGTATCTGAAACAAGTACATGCATTGTACAAATCCTTCAAGACAACTCAAAAACTGTTAACAATTGCTAAGAGCCCCAAGGCAGAGTTTGGGAGTGCTTATTTGAAAAATAAGTGCTTATTCTATATGCACTCATGAGCATTTGGTGAAAAAGCACTTATTTCAAACAGGGGCAGTACAGGTATTTTCAAAATGGCATGTCGGGCCAAGACATGCCAGAAAGGAAATAAGCACTTATTGAATAAGCACTTATTCGGGCTTATTTCCCAAATGCAAATAAGTGCTTATTGGTGTGGTCCTAGCTAAAAATAAGTGCTTATTCGAATAATCACTTATTTTTAAGTACTCCCAAACTTAATATGGAAACAGATTAGGGATGGCAATTTTCCCCATCCCCGACAAGGACCCGACTTCCCCAACCCAATGGAGTCGGGGATGGGGATTGCTTTGGCGGGGCAGGGATGAGAACGTGGATTAATAGGAATCCCCGATTAGGTCAGGGTCAGGGATGGGGATTGAGGTCCCCGCCCAGCCCCAACCCCAATTAAATATACATATTAAATGTTATTTTTATTAAATACATAGTTGTCAAGGCAACGCCTAGTCAGGCGCCTAGGTGACTAGGCGGTTTTACAGTGTCGCCTCACCAAAACGCCTATAGTTTTGTATACTAGGCGACCGCCTAGAGACTTAGGCGGGCGCCTAGGCAACTAGGCGGGCACCTAAACACAAGGTGGGTGCCTAAATCCCGCTTCAATGCTCTTTTTTTTTCAAAAAAACAGGGGCTTCTTCTCTTCCAGCCCAGCTTCAGTTCTTTTTTTCTTAGAAAAAATAGGGGCTTCTCTTCTAGCCCAGCTTCAATTCTATTTTTCTTCGAAAAAACAGGGGCTCCGCCCCTATTCTCCTCCCTCCTCCTCCTCCTCCCTTCCTAGTTCCTAGCTTCCTGCACTTATCATTTTTAACAGCCGAACCTACTCCCTTCCTAGTTCCTAAACTTATAAAATAGTTTAGGTCAGATGGTCGCCTAGTCGCCTTGACAACTATGATTATATATATATATCAAAACATATTTAAAACATTATTTATAATTAATTTTTTATTTATTTCAAGTAAATTTATTTTTCAAAAAAAAATACTGTTATCTAAAAAAAATTCAGGGATTCGGGTCCCCATGGGGAACCCATCCCATCGGAGATCGGGGATGGAGGACAAGTTTTATCTCCGATGGGGATCGGGTATGGAGATGGGGGTTAATTTCAGAATCGGGGTCGAGGACGGGGAATATGATCCCTATTGTGGATGCTTTTGTTGGAAAGAAATACAGCCACAGAGAGCAGCAGTAGTAAGAAATACAGCTGCAGACAACAGCAGTAATGGGCGTAAAACTCAGTGTTCCTATCCTATCTGTTAGCTAGATTCAGTGTCCCTATCTTATCTCTGTTCCTATCTTATATGTTAGCTAGATTCAGTGTTCCTATCTTATCTCTTATCTAGATTCAGTATTCCTATCTTATCTGTTAACTAGATTCAGTGTTTTTATCTTATCTCTTAGCTAAATTCAGAGTTCCTATTAATTAGGCAGTAGCATTATTTAAAGATAGATGTTGTTAGGAAGTCTTCCTAAAGAAGGACTCTTATCTTCTTGTAATCTCCTATTTAAGGGAGCAGATGGTATTCAATGAAATTATCGAAATTTTCAGTCAAGAAAGAGCAAAGGAGAGTTGGTGATCTTTTTAACAAATCACCATTAAGGCGCTAAAGATAGGTTCCTCGAGGAAAGGGAGAAACAAGGGAAAACAAGAGGTTTTCCCCGTTAACCAACCTGTGACGAGATCCTATTCGCGGGCCCTTAACAATTTGGTATCAGAGCAAGGCGTCATGGGTGACTTTGAGCAATTGAAGATTAGGGTTCATGATCTGGAGCACAAACTCATGGAAAACAGCAAGGAGGTGCGCGAGATCAAGGACGACGTTCGAGAATTGAGGCACTTGATGGAGTTATATTTTTCGAGCAAGGAAAAGTGTTCAGAAGGGGCTGCAACCATAGACGGCTGCCGACCAGATGTGGCAGAATCGTCCGGCGAGCAGCAGGTCGTTGCCCAGGGAAACGCGATCGTTCCCAAATACAGCAGGCTGGAATTTCCTTCCTATAATGGAGCTGGAGATCCTTTGGGATGGCTGTACAGATGTGAGCAATTCTTCCGCAACCAACAGATAGAGGACAGGGACAAGGTAGGCTTAGCCGCATCCACATGACAAAGGAGGCACAGCTCTGGTTTTATAAATTGGAGCAAGAGAAACCTGGGCTCAGTTGGACCCAATTCAAATCCTACTGCCTTCTTAGATTTGGGCCCCCATTAACAAGCAATCCATTAGGCGAACTAATCAACCTCAAACAGACTGGAATTGTGGCTGAGTATCAGCATCAGTTTCAGACCCTCCTTGCAAGAGCATCTTCGGTACGACCAGACCAACAGGTTGACATGTTCACCGTGGGGTTAGCGGAAACTTTGAGGGTGGATGTGGAGATGCAAAATCCCCCCAATCTGGTTACTGCTATGAATTTGGCTCGCGCTTTTGAACGCAAATTGCAACTCAACCGCGGAAGTATAGGGAAGCCTCAAACAACATGGGCAGCCCCGAAACCACTCGGAATGGCTCCATCTTCAGCATCCAGCCAAGAACAAAAACCACAGACAAGCAACAATTCCAGATCGGCACCCAACGTGGGAAGCAGCGTTGTTGCACCCCCTATTAAGCGCTTGTCCAGGGCTGAGATGGCGGAACGCAGGGCGAGGGGACAGTGTTTTAATTGTTATGAACTTTACTCAGCAGGGCACAAGTGCAAGAGACTTTTTTGCCTCCTGGTGGAACAAGAGGAAGATGAGGATGAACCCTCTTCATTGGAACCC